CCGACATAGCAAAATTTTTCGGAGCATCACATAAATTTTCAAAAAAAAACCTACATTTGCCACAAAATTGACTAAATTTTCGAAAAAAATGACAGAATTTGTTTGATTTTTTTTATAACAACCCAAAATTGCCCGACTGTTAATCGAATATTGCCCAACTGCCCAAAAAACCGCCCCCCCCCCCGCCCGGTACGCCTATGAATACAGTTATTTTCGTATTTGGTACTATAAGTTGTATAGTCCCATATGTCTGTGTCAAATGCAACTATAGACTTGCTTCTTTGTAGGTTATCTAATTTTTAGAGGGCCATTTGGTAGAATAAATGTTAATTTACCCTCATCAAATAAAGTTTATTACTAGGAGTTACTATCGCAAGGAAAATGCTGCCGATATGTACATGTAGGATGTGCTACAAAAAGAGCGTTTTTCACTGTATGTATGATTTATTGTCTTACACATCGTCGTTCCTCAGTTACCTATGTTATTGCTTATTGGGATGTTGAAATTATGTTTGTTTTAAATACATTTAATTGATATTCCATAACTTCATTTTGTATGATTTCATTGACCTTGACGTTGTTAAAAATCATTTTGTATTGTATTGAAACTGTATGTCTATGACCTATGTTATGTACTATATTAACCCATTGAGTCGCATTGCACCCTGATGCACCCTACTTTGAACAGTATTTTACTCTGTCTAACGCCAGACGATTTTACTCGTCAAGGGGAGAGTGCTGGCGCTTAATGGGTTAACTGATCTTTGATGTTCAGTATTTTACTCTGTCTAACGCCAGACGATTTTACTCGTCAAGGGGAGAGTGCTGGCGCTTAATGGGTTAACTGATCTTTGATGTTCAGTATTTTACTCTGTCTAACGCCAGACGATTTTACTCGTCAAGGGGAGAGTGCTGGCACTTAATGGGTTAACTGATCTATCTGCCCATGTGTCTAGTTAACCCATTGGGTCGCATTGCACCCTGATGCACCCTACTTTAGTATTTTACTCTGTCTAACGCCAGAGTATTTTACTCTGTCTAACGCCAGACGATTTTACTCGTCAAGGGGAGAGCGCTGGCGCTTAATGGGTTAACACACCCAAAATCTGTACTAAAACTGCTAATTCTGTTTTGTGATTGGCACAGTTTAATCAAAGAATCCTCCCGTTGAACCAGAACCTTCACGATATTTCAATTTATTATTAACTGAAGGCTCTGGAATCCAGGATAGCTTGCCATTGAATACAGTGCAATGCTTATATTTCTGAATGAATAAGATCATACTCAGAACAGTTAGAACTGCAAAACTATATTGTTAGAAAGAAGTTGAAGTTGTGAGCATTATTGTGGTAACACAGCCATATGTATATATCAATGTATGTCAGTAGAATCATGTTTATAGGCTTTATATATAACTGAGGCAGTCTTATACAAGTCATATCTTATACAAAAGTCAGTTGATATGCTATATTACATGTAATTGCTGATAAGTCCATATATGCAGACAACAATCCACACTGGGTAGCTCTAGGAATCTTGTTAAGCCTGATTTAACAACATCCTGCGTTTGTTTTTAAACTATAAACATCTAGAAATAGAACGTACCGAACACTATTATATACTCACCGCCTTTGGCTTTGCACATATTAAGTGACATAACAAACAAATAAACTAAAAGTTCATTTGCTTCTTGTATCAGCATAAAGGCATTAATCATTACTGTCGATTTGGTCGGGAATAGATCAGTGCCTATTCAGTGGGTATTATAATTGCCGATATATTCTTGAAATCATATTGTTTCAATGCCTCTATATCGAAGTTTAATACACTAAGGGGCCGATTACATGGAGAACTTTCAACCCCGGGGTTGAACTCAGCCCTGTTAACCGGGTTGAAATCTTTTGCGATTACATGGACGATTTCAACCCCGGGGTTGAAACGCTATACTATACGTTCTCGGCATCGATTCCCGGAAGTAAAAAAGCCTTTAATAAAAAAGCTCTTGTAATAAATAATCACTACCACGTATGCTCGAATAACTCATGATAATTTCAGCCCTGGGTTGAAACGATTACATGACAAAATTTTCAACCCAGGGCTGAGTTCAACCCCGGGGTTGAAATTTCAACCCTGCTAGCTGAAGCAGGGTTGAAATTTCAACCCCGGGGTTGAACTCAGCCCTGGGTTGAAAATTTTGTCATGTAATCGCGCGTTTGATTTTGATAGAGTTTTGTATTACAGACAGGGCTGAAATTTCAACCCGGTAAACAGGGCTGAGTTCAACCCCGAGGTTGAAATGCTCCATGTAATCGGCCCCTAAAGTGACTAAACAAGTATAAACAGCAGATTTAAATATAAATGCCTTCATGTATTATAAAATATATCACCAGACAAGTAGACAGGGCACACGGCACGACTACATCACTATACGAGAAGGAAATAAAGCCATCCTTACCTGAATTATTCAAAATATTGTCGATCATTCTTGCGCCAGAGACACAAAATAACACCGTGCTTTATTTACCCATTCATTTCACAAATATTACTCGGAATTTTTATGGAAATAAATTAATTCGCATTATTTTAGGGGTCACGTCCATATTCATATTGCCACGCATAACGTCGAATCGACGTTATGAGTGGGTGGGTGGGTTTATCTAAATTCTCTCGACGTTATCTCGATAATCTCGTGGCAAAATGACAATTTTGTGAAAGTTTTGAAGAACATGACTGCCACGCTCGACGTTATTTAGGGTGGGTGGGTGGGTTTGAGTGTTAACGTCGATTCGACGTTATGCGTGGCAACATGAATATGGACGTGACCCCTTATGATTTTTATATTTCTGTCCGTTTATAACAGCAACCTCGTCCCCAGGGCCTATTGAGGAAGGAGGCGAAGCAGCAAAGGCCCTGGTAAAGGCTGGTCACGTGATGCTTCAAATTTTGAATATTTCAGAATATTTAACTTTTCAAACCGGGCGCTTTGATTTTATCAAACATGGCCGTGCAAAGGGGCGATAGAAGCTTTTGCGACTGAAACCAGAGACCGAAACTATGATGATAAACTTTTCAACTGACAGTGGAAATAAATATATAGTCTGCGATGTTCTTCAAAAAAATATGCAATATAATCAACAGCAATACTTGTGGAAGATCAAGATTCAAAGAGAAGAGGCTATTTTGTAAACATTGACTGACAACAGTAAATATTTCTTTTCAGCTTGGAAGCGTGTTTTATAATACTTGTCGTTTGGGAGTCAATAACATACTGTCAGTGAAGAATTTGATTTGGGACTTTGATGTACCTTTATGAAAAGATTACTACTGAATACAAATGTGCATGTAAAATGTGATTAGAACGTTTTAATATGAACAGTTGCACTGTCATTGACTCAATATATTTTAATGTGGGACAAACATTAAAAAACATTAAAGTGCTGTGCCAAGTGACAAAATTCCATGCCGACCATGGGTTATGTATATATGCATTTTTATTAAACGTTTATACCAATATACACTATTTTAAACCTTTGTGTGTGAATTTTGTGTGTTGATTTTATGATATATGACAACCATGAATATTAATAATATAATATGTTAACAGCAAGTTTACAGTATATTGTATAATACAAAAGCAATATCACTGATATTATCACAAGACTCAAGTACTGTACATGGTCTAATAGATGTTTCTTAGTCAGCAACTATGCTCTTTGACATTGTGGCAATCAGGTATTCTTGGGGCTTTTAGCTTGGTTTTTCACTTTTTTGATACAACTATAGAATACCCACAACTTTCACACCTTACCGCTATTAATTCCTTGTAAACATTGTCAATTTACTCAAAATTGATCTAATATGATTGCCTCATTCTTCAAAAACCCCCAGTCAAATTTGAACCAAACTAACATACTCATATGATTTAATCTCTAAACTTTACCCTTAAACTATTTTGAAGTGATTCTTGTACTTATTTATGTGTCAATGAATGCGGAAAAATGGCGAGGTATTCTATAAGCATTCCGGCATGTGTGTTTTTGAACCTTCACTGTTGAGAGAGCATGCCATGGGTCTCCCCAAATTATCTCAGCACTTCAACCAGACCAACAGCTGCCAAATGGCAACTACTATGCTCAGAGGTGTAACTTAACACTTGCCCGGGGCAAGTGAATATCATGATGGGCAAGTAAAAGTTTCCTCTTGGTTGCCCGAACGGGCAAGTTGCTTTGCCACAAAAAGCTGGCCAGCTTTCAGTTCATATTATTATTGTCGGATAGAATAAAGGCTGTTCAACGACATTGGTTCAAGCTGGCAAATCATCTGCATCAAATTCATCTAAATTGTTTGATTATATTATGCATTGATTCTCTTTTTGGTTATTAAATGTTTATTCATGATATGATAATGAAATATGGCAGGACTTAATTTATGGCAGGACTTAATTTGGGACTTTATTAGTTCTCTGTTGTCTGTGCCTTCAATTTCTTATTGTAAAACTAATAAAAAAAAATAATGGTGATTAGTGTTACATTAAATAAGTGTACTTGATTCAAATTTTGTTTAATATGTGAGCCAAAGCTAGATCTGAGGTAGTCTAGATCTGAGGCAGTAACATAGCCAATGCCACTAGTCCAATGTGTGGATATGTTGTCTCTCTAATTTATACTGGCCCGCGTAGGTACCCCATTGCCTGATGGCAAGTGGATTTTATTCAGGGCAACCAATTTTCATGTCCAACTTGCCCTGAGGGCAAGTGGTCAAAAAAGTTAAGTTACACCACTGATGCTGTATACAAATTATATACCTGAAAGGTAACTTACATCATATTGTGTCATTTAAATACTAATACTTGTATTCTCACAGTGTATTAAGATATACAAATGC